TTTTATGACATATGTATACTTCAAGTGTAAAAAAATCATGGTTGTCATGGCGATAGCCGCCATCTTGTGAAAAACAACAATATGTATTTAGAATTCTAAAATTTTGAAAACGAACATAAGTATTTAACAATAAGTGCTGGATTCATGATCTCACATCCTATTAAAAGGCACCGGTTTAGTTTATTTACTTTAAGCATGTTTTTAAATATATTTTGTCGAATTTAAAAATGTAGGTTTATTGAAAAAGTAAAAAAAAAATCTAGCACCATAAAAAACAAAATCAAATTTTTAAAAACAAAGACTTTCTAAAATATATTTTTAAATAGACCATTCCCTATAACATTGTTTAGGAAATATCCATACCACATTTCACGTTTCTATTCTTTATATTAGTTTAAATTTCAGGATTTCACACAAACAGAAATATAGAGATGTGAGAAAACTGACTTTTAAACTTTTTTTTTTTTTTATCTTAAAAAAGTGCATCGGTTGGTGTCTTTAGTATTAACTTTTCAATGCTAAATTATTTACAACTGACACAACATTTTGTGTGTAATCTATTGTACGAATGCCGAACTTTACCAAAATGAACACATTGAAAAAGTGATATTTTTGTCATAAGTTGGAAAAAATGCCATGTAGTGACCCCCTTAAGCTTTTGTCGTTTTACTTCATGCTATTGAAACATTTTTGTTTCTTTATTATTTACCTTCAGCCATCTGTGTTTACTTATTAACTGTTTGCAAAAAAATTATAGAGCTTGTCTATTGGCTAATGACTCACTTTGGTATATTTCAACAAAACATGAATCCCCCTCTCCCCCCTCACTCTTCCCCCCAAAAGCGTGTTAAACTGAAACGGGTTTCCCGATCAATCTAAAGCAAAGTAAAACATTTCACGCCTTCATGTGTATTGGGCATATAGGGCTAGATTTAAATTGTATAGATCAATTGGCAGTTGGTGGGTGATGTGGTCAACATTACGCCAGGCGCCTTTACTTCCGAGGAATATACCTAAGACCTACTCAATCAGGGATGGGTCGTCCTGGGAGCCGAGGTTATTTTTTATGAAAAAGCCTGTCTCGTTAGGACTTGAACCCACAATCCTCCGATCCGCAGGCGAGCGGCTAGCTGCTACATCTAGGGTTAAATAAATCCAGCTCAAAATGAATGACACGAAATGTTATGTAAAATCATTCTGGCTGATACCTATTGACATCCCGCATCGAGTACCCAATAAATGAGACAAAATGAAGGTAACGTCATAAACATATTACACATTAAGGTATGGAGACAGGATGACTATTATTGTAGCTGTCATGGGACCATAATGGGGACAATCGTTGGTCATGTCAGGAGAAGAAGAAAACTGAAGTGCGCCAGCACGGTGGGAAAGTTTGAGGGGATGAGAGGCAGAGAGGGACCGAAAGAGGAGATACCAGTCAGTTTACCCTCATGGCATGGAGGATCATCTGTGTCAGAGTTGATTGAAAGTAAACGAGACAGAAGGTTGGGGATAAACATGGCTACCAACGCCATACTGCATGGCCTTTGAGATAAATATCGTACGAGACACTGCATCACTTGTATGTTAGTTACACCCCAATGTCATCATCAAGTGCCTTGCCGACGGTAATGCCACGCATCATTTCGTGTGTTGACACCTCCATATCATGACATAAGACTGTCAAGAATCGTCTCATGCTCTTCCAATCTCTCTCTCTCCCTATCTCTCTCTCTCTCTCTCTATCTCTCTTTCTCTCTCTATATCTCTCTCCCTCTTTCTCTCTCTCTCTCTCTTTCTCTCTATCTCTCTCTCCCTCTCTCTCTCTATCTCTCTCTCTATCTCTCTCTATATCTCTCTCTCTTTCTCTCTCTCTCTCTTTCTCTCTCTCTCTCCCTCTCTCTCTCTCTTTTCTCTCTCTCTCTCTCTCTCCCCCCTTCTCTCTCTCTCTCCCTCTCTCTCTCTCTTTTCTCTCTTTCTACAGATCTTTCCAGTAGTCACAAGGTGCTCCACTTTCCCTCTTCTCATAAAATCACCAAATATGACGACTGCCTCCTTCTGATTTTGTGATCAGTTGTCTTCGAGCATTTGCCTCTGTCAGAACATATGGGTTGCTGTTCTTAGTTGTCCAAGGAATTCTAAGGATTCTTCTCTAAAACCACATCTCCGAGACCTGAAGATATTGTTCACACCCCTGTATAGGTTTCTGTTGTTCTGTTTTGGTATTTCAAAGCCCCATCCCGGCTTTTGTCGAGGCTATAATATAACCTAACGATTGAACAATGTTTCTCTGACTTGTGCCCGGGTGATCTTCATCTTTGTGTCACCGGGTATTGGTCGCTTGTTGCGCGGTCATGGTAGGGTTGAACGTCACTAAGTCACTGCATAACTTCATGTTTTATAGAATCTTTGTTGTTTAGAGATGATGCACTGCTAGCTCATGTTGGATCTTGTTTTGGTCATTTGTATTCCGTCTTCCTTGCGCACATTGCTTGAATGCGCATCTGATTGATTAGTAAGTTATTGAGGAGATCATCCGCATTGCACATCGAATCAGCCAACCATAAACGCTCAGATCCCCTGCTCAGTAGATCCGACAGTGTGTAGCAGCTGATGACACTAGTTCTGAGTGGCCTTATTCTTATTCTCTGGCTTCCTGCATTGTGCTGCCGTCTGACCTCACCCTCCCCCCCCCCCCCTTTTCCCCGCACTTCTCGTAAAACATTCAATATATCAGAAAGGTTCATGGCTCTTCAGCTCTCCACAATAGACTTATCTGCCAGCTTGTTACACCTGCATGCCCTGGCATTGCATTTAACCTGAAACAAAGATACCCCAAATGGATGCTAGTAAGTTCATAAAAGGCAATTTTAGAACCAGGTGGCAATGAGAGTACACAAGCGACCAGCAATGTTGAAACATACCACTAACCGTTTAGCTATCACGAGTAACAATATTACTGTATTCTTACATTTCAGAATAAATAGAAGAAAGCTAGAATAAACAAATTTATACAACAACAAATTCAACACATCAACAGCTAAGGGCCATGGAGGGAAAACAATACGTCACCATTATCTGCTGTCTACTGGTGGCCATCTTGAGCACAGTCTGTCACAGCCAAACATGGCGGCCCCAGGGAAGGTTTGGCAAACGCCTCAGTCCAAGTCGGGTTTCTGCTGAAGGTAAGTTCTGTGTTTGTTTCTTGGTTACATCAGAGATATCCTACCAGACTGAGGACTCCACCCATCCTCCTACTGACGTTTTGATGGTCCGGTAATCAATCTGCATCAGCACAAAGACACATTTTACATACAGCATATTCATTCCCGTTCGTGTATCTGACTGTGAGATAATCTTCGTGTATCTGACTGCATGATAATCTTCGTGTATCTGAGTGTGTGATAATCTTCGTGTATCTGACTGTATAATAATCTTCGGGTATCTGACTGTGTGATAATCTTCGTGTATCTGACTGTATGATAATCTTCGTGTATCTGACTGTGTGATAATCTTCGTGTATCTGACTGTATAATAATATTCGGGTATCTGACTGTGTGATAATCTTCGTGTATCTGACTGTGTGATAATCTTCGTGTATCTGACTGTATGATAATCTTCGTGTATCTGACTGTGTGATAATCTTCGTGTATCTGACTGTATGATAATCATCGTGTATCTGACTGTATGATAATCTTCGTGTATCTGACTGCATGATAACCTTCGTGTATCTGACTGTATGATAATCTTCGTGTATCTGACTGTATGATAACCTTCGTGTATCTGACTGTATGATAACCTTCGTGTATCTGACTGTATGATAATCTTCGTGTATCTGACTGTATAATAATCTTCATGTATCTGACTGTATAATAATCTTCGTGTATCTCTAGGTAGCTCTTGTTTTCTGAGGTTTTTTAAAGCAAATTTACACACAGAACAACAGTAAATGACTCTTTGCCTCTGCTCTGGGCCCATTGATCGTACAGGGCTGGACCAATTGTTTATAGACCAAGTGGCACTTGGTAGGCGATGTGATCAGCATCACCCGCCTTTACTTCCCATGACTTCACTGGTACCCGTTCAAGGCTAGGTCGAGCTGAGAGCCAAAGCCATTAAAAAAAAAAAAATCCGGTACGGCCAGGATCTGAACCCACGACCTTCCTATCTGTGGACGATCGTCCAGCCACTACACCACGACGGATGAAAAAACAAACTGGTGACAGCATAAATATTTCTTCTGAAAGGGGGGAGAGTGTATTTTGTACAGAAGGTCACAGACTTAACTCTGTTAATTGTGGATGGTTGTTATTTCACTTGACCTGTTTATGTTCAGTAGTTTGCCACTGCTACCACTAGACGATCGGCTCTCAAAACCAATGCAAAAAACGAACGCAAAGTGCCGTATTGCACGCAGCTAGAATCGAGCCGGACACATCAGAATGACGACTTGCCCTTAGCAAGACTAGAGTCACACAATTATTTCTAGAGAAAATACAAATGGACAAGGTGAACTGAGAAAGCGGTTAACAAGCAGATGTTCATTTCTGAATTAGTTTTACCTCTGTGTGTGTGCGTGTGTAAGAATCTATGCATCTCCCCTCCACCCCCTCAGATATCCTTATAAGTTTTGTTTCCTATTTATTTATTTTAATTTTTAATTTTTTGTTTGTTCGGTATTTTTCTAAATTGCTGGCGAAATCAAATCCTTGTATGTCGCTGACTGTGAAATACTTTCACTAACCTTCAAGCTGCAGACCTACACATTTTTTTTTTTTAAAATAGACTAATCAATTTTAGCGGGTAATTATAAGACTGGTCGACTTTTGTCTGGAGAGAAAACACAACCTTATGTCCCAAGGGATATGTTCATTTCTCAATAACACATTCACAAGCAACAATTTCTGATATTATGCTTACAGCGAAGATGACACATCATCCGTCACGTGGCTTCTCCAGCTTTCACGACATTCCTGTAGAGATGTTCTTTACCGAAACAGAAGTTGATCAGATGAAGTTCAAACCGAGGCTCTGTTCCGTCTCCGGTCTTCGTGGATACCCCGTCTGTAATTTGTAAGTATGTATGTATTTCTATTTTATGTCTGCCAGTCTGTTTATCCATCTATCTGTCAGTCTGTCTATTAGGCAGGTATGAACACATTTAATCATGCACATAGATAGATAAATGTAGACAGACTTTCGGTTACATATTTTGTTAATGCCTAATACATTTTCAAGTGCTGTCTTATGTTAGACAAAAAAGGCTGACAGAGTGGTGCGGGGAAAAAAAAGAAAAAGGACTGGGAGGAGTAGAATTGTAGATTTATCTTCATTAACAAAGAAGTCAGTATCGACGTCGAAACTTCCAGGAGCTTGCAAATTAGATCTCGGGTTGTGAAATGAAATTGTCTTTAGTAGTATATAAGTCCACTCTTCCCTCTCTGCGAGCGATGTCTGATCTCTATTTTTTTCGAAGTGATATTTGTCAAATGTCAGTCGCGAGAAGCCATCTTGGTCTCCCAAACAGCGGCTGCGTTTTATTGTAATTTTTTTACTCACCTGTTTGTAAACTAATAAATGGTTCAGTTCTAATTGTTTAACATCAGCTTTATTATAACCAACATTGAAGCCTTAAGAGGGATACTTACCGAGCATATCAATAGAAGACATTAAATAAAGGATGCAGTCATGTGTAGTAACTGTCACGTCTCAGTGACAGGGCAAGACAGATAAAGATGGTTGTGAACATTTTAAACAAACGTACATTTGTCGACGGCTGTGGTTTGTGCTGCGTAATGTCGAGATGCCGGGTTCGATCCCAGCTGCGGGCGATTTGACAAAATACCGTCCAGTGTTCGTCTCGACAGTGGTACTGAGGGCCGGCCGTTTAAGGGCAATGGCAAACTACTGAACTAGACAACTGCAGCAGCCACAACAATTCTGAGATTGGCCCTGCAACGTCCTATAAATGATACGCAACTCACTGTTAACACATAATAATAACATTAATAATAATAATATTAATAATTTAAACAACTTTAACTTGGCAGACTTTTTGGTAGGAACATAGAGACGAGATTTAAGACTCAGGTGATAAAAACAAACAATCGGGAACAATCGAGTCAACTGCAGGAGACATCACCACTTAACGTCAGTTGGTTGAGGGCCCATATTTCATGTAACGATACATGCAAGAAGAAAAAGCTGTGTAATCCTGACCTCTAACGGCTTGACTTGTTGCAAGGTCTGTGCCCACATTCCACATGTAAAGCCAATAAATTCTAGACCCAGCGTCTCTATTCTCCCCAACCCCCGCCCCTTTTTTCCCGACACTTTTCGGGGCTGATGATTGAATCCTGTAAGGGTCAAACTCCGGTACCCAGTGCACCGCTCTGCTGCAGCTTCATCCGTAGAGGTAAAATTAGTCCTAGCACCAGAACTAGGGCCATTTTCACCTGCTGGAGCTTCATTGTGTAATAACAACTCTGGGACATGTTCCTGAAAGGGTGAGGATCTGTCAACGACCCAACACTCTCACCTTCCAGGGATGGCCTCCTTGCACACACGACAGTCTTGTGGAGAGCAACATTCGACAAAGCAGGACAAGGCCAGAGGAAAGCACTCTCCTACAGTGCTAAGCACGTTACCATTCGACCACCCATTAGCCTGAAATCTGTTGGAGACGTAAAACAGTGACCGCTGTTGCTGCCACACCCAGCACACAATAAAACTGTAGCCAGAACAGAGATGTTTATGTTTAGTTTCTACAAAGATCAACATCATGACACAAGGGTAGGAACTCATAAGTGATCAGTTCTAATTCTACTCAAGCCTGAGTCCGAAGATTCTTAGCGCAGTGCACGAACTCCGTAGCACCGGCGAAAGGATAACATATACCATTTGTCTAGCTATTATTGATAAATTAACAGTTATGTTTTTAGTCGTTGTTAATTAAGGAACGGGAAGGCATCTAGGTTAATGAAACAGTTTACAGCGAAGTGTTGTCGTCTGTGCGGCTGGGAGTAATTAGGTCTAGGGTCAACTAGCTCAGTGTCTGTGGCGGTATAGGCGCTGGAATCTTGGAAATCAGGCACCCTCCCCCCGGTTAGTTCAGTTCTGACATACCCAGCGAAAGTGGGAAAACCACCAAAAATATGGAAGGAAATCTAAATGCATTTGAGAACCGAAAGTAAAAAAATATTAAAAGTCATGAACAGGAGACAATGAAATGTCTGGACTAAATATCTGCACTAACACAAACAAAGCTGAGATATATTGGGCACACTTTGAGATACAATAAGAAAAGCATTAGAAAACCATTAGGAAGAAAATTATTACGAGAAGTTCAAAATGAAGGGCTGAACTCAGAAACCGAGAGAGTTTCTTGCAATACAGCGGGTGAATCGAATGCGAGACCTATGTGACGTCTAACGGCAAAGGATGATGTTTTATTGCGCACTTAAACAAAGCTATGATTACTGAGCACCCTTTCCTAGAAAATTAGAAAGGACTGAGTGACCCCTCCCCCTTCCAGAACACCTCATATCCTACACTATTTATAGCAAGTAATGGGCTGTTTGCTGTTTGCTGTTTGCTGTTTGCTGTTTGTTCTTTATTATTATTATCCTTGAGTTAATAATCAATCAATTAAACATTCTTTTATTTTAAGCAATTGATCTCCGACATGCAATGTTTCTTGTCCTGGCTGTACACTCCCTCCGGCTGGTGCCCATCCATATATTGATGTTGTCCTTCCACTTATATCGTTGCTTACCTCTTGCTCTCTTACATTCGACTTTTCCTCCAGTATGGTTTGTAAAAGTGCATTATGTCTTTTAATGTGCCCAAAAGACTTTGATTGTCTTTTTTGTTTTTTAAATTCTTTTCAGTAATTCTCTTTTCATATGTAGCCTTTCTAGAACCTCTGTATTGGACAGGTTTTGTTTCCATGAAACACGACCTATTCTTCTGTATACCCAAATCTCCAGAACCTCTGTATTGGACAGGTTTTGTTTCCATGAAACACGACCTATTCTTCTGTATACCCAAATCTCCAGAACCTCTGTATTGGACAGGTTTTGTTTCCATGAAACACGACCTATTCTTCTGTATACCTACATCTCTAGAGACTCAATTCCATTTTCTAGTTGCTTGTTCATTGTCCAAGTTTCTGCACCATATAGTATACATAACATTTGACGATTCTCATAGTTAGTATGTTGTTGATCTCTCTAACTGTCAGTCATTTGTGCATCTTATTGAAGACAGTTTTAGTCGTCCCTGTTCTCTTTCTGATTTCTGTTTCGCTCCTTCCATTATCTGTTACTAGGTGCCCTAGATGGAAAAACTTTTTACTTAATCTAACAGTTCCCCGTTTACTGTGAAGTTTACTGTTGGCAGCTCTTTTCCTTGGTTATTTACCATAGTTTTTGTTTTTCGAATATTAATGCCTCGAGTATCTGAGCCTCACATTTTCAGGAAACAGTGCCGCAGTAATGAAACAACTAAATCCGGATTTCTAAGTCGAGTCTGGAATGTGCTTCTAATACAGGTGTCCTTGACTCGACTTGATTGTACCCCCAATACGCTTGAAGGCGTGGACAATGACCCATTACTGTGACACACGTTTAGTGGGACCGTTTAACCCCCTTGCAATGTGTCTAAGCGAAGGACAGGGTAAAAGCTCCCTACCCCATCCCTGTGAGATGATAAGACTCTTGAATACACAACCGCATTATTTCTCGGCCTTGATCCAGTCACTGACCCCTTGGAGTCAGCATTCCGAAATCTGATGCCCAGATGTTTCAACGGACAGACATTTCTGAGTCTCCTGTCTAGAATCTGTACTTGTATCAATGTCTGTGGAACGAATTCCCACCCAGTAAAACGGACTAGAGCTGTCACACCACCACCACAGGAGTTACCAGGGGTTTAGTGATAGCGAAGCCAAACAATCAGGATATGATGTAAAAGATTCCATTTCATGACGTCTGATCAGCGTTGGCGATGACACCTCTAAATAACCCCCTGTGACTACTTCTCTTGATCAGCTGATACGCTGCCATTCTTCTCGTGGTAATGTTGATTTACAATATTTCATATACCGTCAACAATAAATCTGAAAGTTAAAATAAACAAAAAAAACACAAGAAATACCTGCGTGTGGTCACCATGTGTTGAAGTCATACTTGTGTATGGTGTGTCAGTGTTTGTGTGTTGGTGTGTGAGTGTGTGTTGGTGTGTCAGTGTTTGTGTGTTAGTGTGTCAGTGTTTGTGTGTTGGTGTGTCAGTGTTTGTGTGTTTGTATAATTGTAAGCAGACTGCACACACAGCTCATCTTCTACTGCTCCGTTGTTTCTTTTGTGATGTGTCTGCAGCTGGCGTCTGAGTATTTGAAAAAGCTTCTTTTCTAATGCAGATCTGAGAAGTTATTGTGTTGATCTGAGTCTCAAAGCTTTCATCATTCTTCCATTTTTAGGGATTCAGTGAGAATTACCCGAAGTTTTAGGCAAATTCGCACATTCCTTGGATTTAATCCACAGTTTCGCACCTTCCTTGGATTTAATCCACAATTTCGCACTTTCCTTGGCTTTAATTTACATTTTCGCACATTCCTTGGATTTAATTCACAATTTCGCACATTCCTCAGATTTAAGTCACAATTTCGCACATTCCTCAGATTTAATTCACAATTTCGCACATTCCTCAGATTTAATTCACAATTTCGCACATTCCTCAGATTTAATTCACAATTTCGCACATTCCTCAGATTGAATCCACAATTTCGCACCTTTCTTGGATTTAATCCACAATTTCGCACCTTTCTTGGATTTAATCCACAATTTCGCACCTTTCTTGGATTTAATCCACAATTTCGCAATTTAATCTTTTCTTTAATTTAATCCATAGTTTTGCACATCCATTTTAATTATTCAACAGTTTAGTTCGTTGGATTCACTCGAAAATAAATCCTTATCGTATCCAGAAACTGCGTTTCTTCAGGTTACAAGTCGCTTTTTACTGTCTGATCAGTGGCCTTCCATCTGTGACGCTCAGACACATGAAATCAACATCAATCATGAACACACAACAGCTCACATTGCAGATAAACATGTTCTAAAGCAAGAGCAGCAAATAAAACACTCCAGCAATCCCACCAGTTATTATCGGACAGTCACAGTTAGTCGTTAATGCACATGACTTGAAAAACGATGAGATGGAGCACATTTCAACATGTCCGAAGTGCACAGAAAAAAGTAAACTAACCCTAGGATACATTTTTCATGTTATTTGCATTGACCATTTTGACACCAGTGATTGCTTTATACTTCCAGCTTTCTTGTGGAACATCTGTGTGTCTGTGCTTCTGGCCCACATTGTTTGTCTGTGTAAGCCCACCAAGGTTAGTTAGCAGATGCTGAGACTGTGGCTGATCAGTTAGTTGATAGAGGAAAACCCTAGGCCAGCAGATGTGATTAGATACATAGATGGATCGGCCTAGGGGTAGAGAGAGAGAGAGAGTGGATGAGGCATTACCACTACCAGCATGAGAATGGAGGTTGAGGCGGTGACTGTCGCGTTCCGATGTATCAAAAAAAAATTCAACCACACATGATGTCATTGTCCTGGATTATAAGAAATTCCTCAGATGTGTGAAGGCGGGTTTTCCTTCCACTGAAACGGGTCGCATCAATCCAAGGAGTGCAGGTTGTGATAGCCACATATATATTGTGCATGGATATTCAGGCGTGTGTATGGAATCAGTAGACAGATAGGTTGGCTGGACTAGTCCTACATGGAGATGTACTGCAAGCTGCACAAGGCAGAAGTTGATCTCTCGACTTTGGAGCGAGGTAACAAGTTAAATGAAAGATAATGAAAACCTGCTACTACAGATAATGTTACAGCGGGCAGTGTCTCTGGACTGTGTGTGCCACTTGGGACGCGGAAAAAGGCAAGACGAATAGTTACCCAGAGCACGACGAGTACCATCAATATAGAGACTCTTTCTTTGCTGGCTGTTGAGAAGGGAGATAAAGCTAACATTGGCTTTTTCCGAATGCTGTAATGTCAGTTCTTGAGCCACATAAGCTTAGATATTCTGCGGTGATCCTTCATTTGTTTTTCTTTCTCTCTCATCCACAGCGAGACGACTTCATCTCGGAGAGACACTGATGACCTCAGCAAATACCTGGACATATGACCCGCTTCTACAGCCATCCGAAGTCCTGTTTATAATTTTAGTTAACCTTCACCTGCTCCAATGATGTTATGTTTATAACCTTAGTCAACTGTTTAACTGCTCCAGTAATGATCTGTTTATAACCTTGGTCAACTGTTTAACTGCTCCAGCGATGTAATGTTTATAACCTTAGTTAACTGTTTAACCACTCCGGTGATGTTATGTTCACAATCTTAGTTACCTGTTTAACTGATCCGGTGATGTTCTGTTTATAATCTTAGTCAACTGTTGGAATGCCTTAGCATCTTCTCTGCTAAAGTTGTTCGATTCTGCACCATCCTCAAGTCCCCCTGCACACCGACCCATCTTATAGGAACCTACCTATTGTAACGATGAAGGTACATTGTCTTCCAAGTATTACACTTTCAGAATTTCTAGTCTCCAGTGAAGCATGTGTGCGGCTCTATGACAGAGGTTAGTGAACACGGTTCATAATCTTCGACGTATCAGGGTGTGATTTTTTGAGTCAGTCAGTTTAGAGAAAGGACCTCTCGCTTTCAACAGTGGTGTGAACGTCGTACCATGGAAACAATTATGGCATCCGTTTATCATATTTCTTTTTAAAAAAAAAAGCAATAAAACCACAAGTCCATTGTAGCTAACCTATACTGTTGAAACAGCATATAAAGAAGACAGTAGAACATATAGGAACAATATCATGAAAGGTACAGATAAATCAAATGTAGTCCACGACTCACATCCGAATGTTGCTACAGGGAAGATGCATGCTCTCAGAATTCTAATTTTGATCTCCTTGCTGGTGCTTAACCATAGACTTTTTACGCTGTTTAATCTTTGCATTGCTATGGACATCCTCCTTTTAATTTCGGTCAGTCTCTCCGTCTCCAGTGTCGCACACAACCTCTAGTCCAGCTGTATCTAAAAAAAATGTTCAGGTTATGTTATGTTATCACAGTCGGCGTCACTGCACACTGGACATTCCCATGCGTGCTCTGTCCTCCGATGCAGCAGCCACTCCAAGGTACTCGTACTAATTATTTCCTTGAGAAGTTAGTTATAATGTCCTCTAAACGGGCATAGACGTGCTTCACCATGCTTTACTTCCATGTCACGCAATCATGTTAGTGTCAGAGACCCCCCACCCCTTCCACCTAACATAATACAATGTGATTTAAAGAAAGAAGCCACACAAAAATTCCAAGCACTTAAAGAAAGAACATCTATATTAATCACAGTGTCAAATTACACAAAGGAAACAATTATCAACAACTGGTAATCTAGTCTCCAAATATCAGTATCATGGATGGCACTGTTTTGTCTTAGTGATATCTTCTTTTCGTGGTCTGATGCTGGACAGGGCACAACGGAATCACTCTCAGCGTCAAGCTGGCAAAGCTGTTTTGTCTTCTGGGTTGTTAAAACTGAAACGTGAATATACAGCATGTGATGGAAATAGAAGGTATTGTTAGCTGTAGCTGTATCTCTAGTTTCACATTCAACATTCTAATTAAGTTGAATGTTGCATGCGTCAAGGTGGAAACTGTGTCACCTTGACCTGAATCAGAAGAAAGACCAACACACCCACACACACACACACACACACACACCCACACACACACACACACACACACACACACACACTTACGCACTAATATGTAAATGTGTTATGTTAAATAGTGGAACCAACTAACTATGTCTCTTTATTAAATGCTCCTAAAACACTAGACCCAAGATATCCACCTTGTTGTGTTTGAGTTTTTTTTTTTTTTTTTTCTAATGATTAGATTATTATAAATATATGTTCTGTGAAATCATTAAATTATTGAGCAGAGTTAAAGAAACAACACGAGAGCTTCCCCTGAGCACTGCGTCTCGTTTTTCGACCGCCGCCAGCCCAGTTCGAGCCCTAATGGTGCCAAGTCGCAGACCGACGGTGTTTTGGTCATGTCTTTTCTCTGGAGTGTAAAACCGGCTACAAGTCTGTGAGAAAACCAGTGACTGTAATGGTAAACTAGATAGTTAACAGGAAGATGGAGAAACAACTTCTGATGGAAGTGAACGCAAACAAACTATGGGATATTCTTGAGATAGTAAACATATAGATGGAGAAACAACTTCTGATAGAGGTGGACGCAAACTATGGGATATTCTTGAGATAGTAAACATATAGATGGAGAAACAACTTCTGATAGAAGTGGACACAAACTATGGGATATTCTTGAGATATTAAACATATAGATGGAGAAACAACTTCTGATAGAAGTGGACACAAACTATGGGATATTCTTGAGATAGTAAACATATAGATGGAGAAACAACTTCTGATAGAAGTGGACGCAAACTTTGGGATATTCTTGAGGTTTATGGGATACAAAGGCAATAGCTAGATAATACCATGATCAGGTGCCGCAATTGTCAAACTGTAATGAGAACATGAGAAGCCATACATGATATGTTTACAATCAATAGAGCGCTGATGCAATCATCTGTGCTCCACCGTATCTTATTCAATATAAGCACAGAGAAAATATCTAACTGATTGATTGATTGATTGATTGGCACCTTTCTATCTTTCCAGATGATAGCGTTATATATGAGGAAGCATGGGTCTCACAGCCCATGGCGATGGCGAGTGTGACTAGCAAGACTCGCCCGTGTAGGGAATAACTAACAATTTATAACATTAGAAAAGAAGCTTCTTCTAATACTCAGACACCAGCTGCAGACAAATCACAACAAGGAACTCTACAGAACAGCAGAAGATGAGCTGTGTGTGTAGTGTGTTGACAATTCTACACACAAGCACAAGCACAAACACGCAAACACAAACACTCACACACAGGTAATTATATACTAACCATCTTTAAGCAGTCGACCCAGAAAATACAGAAAATGAGGAACTTTACCTTCCAGAGGAGGAATTAGATAGCACAAACCATACTCGAGCTACCATCTGCAGAGGATCAGTGCCTGTTCAGTAATGATGGGAGAGGTCCACAAGACCATAAGTGATGACCTGAGGTTGGCCAAGGGGTAAGTTAGAGGCAAGAGAGGCAGACCAAGATCGCGGCTCCACGATTTGGTGACATGACACAGAAGAACATCTATATTGTAAATTATTAGCAGCACACAATCAGTATATTTTTCGAAACATCCAGGTAGCTCTTTTTGTCTACCAATGAAATTCTAAGGGTTCAACAGTAGAACCTCACCTCAATACAATGGCTTGTTTAATGACTGTCCACGGTTTTCACAATCACATGTAAAAGTGGCTTTTGATAGCATAGGGGAATTCTTTCCCTAACATCCAATCGCATTGGTTTATTACATAAAAGGTACATCATTTTACAAAATGCACTTTTAGCCTGCCCTATTCTGTTCTTTACCTATGTGATACATCTTCTGTTACCTATGTGATACATCTTCATTTATCTATGTGATACATCTTCCGTTACCTATGTGACACATCTTCCGTTACCTATGTGACACATCTTCCGTTACCTATCGGATACATCTTCCGTTACCTATAGGATACATCTTCCGTTACCTATGTGATACATCTTCCGTTACCTATGTGATACATCTTCCGTTACCTATGTGATACATCTTCCGTTACCTATGTGATACATCTTCCGTTACCTATGTGATACATCTTCCGTTACCTGTGTGATACATCTTACTTTACCTATGTGATACATCTTTCGTTACAGATATGATACATTTTCCGTTACCTATGTGATAAATTTTCTGTTACCTATGTGATACATTTTCCATTACTTATGTGATACATTTTC